TGAGCAGGAATATAGTTCTAAGGTATATATGAGCTATTTCGGATAGTTTAGGGTATTTTTGAGCCTTTTCCGTTCTATTAATTCTAAAAACCACTCCATGTGAGAACGATCCCAACCCTTGGTTGGGTTATATCACTACACGCGATCGTATGGCACTTGAAGTGAACTAGTGTCAGTTGATTATGTCTTTAAACATTAGTTACCACCAGAGATGAGGTTAGAGTTGAGGAGACAGTTGATCTCGAGTCTGAGGCGAAGAAAAATAAGGAGATGCTTGGGGTTGTTGAGGGGGTTTCTTACGAGGGACTTACAGAGACTGAGGAAGCCATGATCGATGCAGCTGTGCAGACCTCTTTTGCAGATATGCCTTTGGTTGACCCTAATAGAGCTTATGATAACATGGATGTGACTCCCGGTACTGAGGCCCGAGATCAGAGTGATACACCGGACACTGTTACCTCGACAGATGGAGCGACTGTTTAGACATGATCCCTCTTTACCTCCCTCTCTGTCTTACTTTATTTGATTTTGGGATATTATTTTGTTTGCATTTGAGGACAAATGGTTTTATTTGTGGTGGGGTGAGACCCACCTTTTTTGACCTTTTGTGACTTTTGGTTTTGTTTATATATTGAGTTTTTGAGGTATAAATTGTGTTGAAACTGCATCTTGATCAATACCGATGACTTGAATAGTGCTCATAATCAAACAAAAATGAATGTGCGGCTATGAGGAGGCCAAATGAAGTTGCATAGACAATATGTGAACTTTTTGCATCTTGTTGGGAGTAGTCAAGTATCAAATTGAGTCTCTTGTGATGAATATTGCATACAAGCAAAAGTGTGGAGTCCTGTTTAACATTGGTGTCAATGTCTTGTGTGATGAGCTTACCGTGAACCATGTGTGATGAAACCTTGAATTTTCCCCGCTGGTCCGGTTAACTAAGTGATGTAAGCTCTTGAGATGATCTTAGGCAACCTTGAAGAGTGTGAAATAATTTGACATTATACTTGTTTTTGTGGCTTACCTTGTGAGTGTGTGAACTTCGCTTGAACACCTTTTGAGCCTTAACCTTTTCTTGGAACAAACTTGATGAAATTGTGACCTTTCTTGATCCATTACCCATAATCCTCATGATTTGTGGTTTGTTTGAAAAGCCATCTTAGTCCAAAAGCCTAAGTTGGGGGTGTGGTGAAAAGAGAAGGTAAATCAAGAAATGCAAAGAAGTCCCTGTCACGACCCGAGAGCACCCCCTAGTCGTAACACGACATATTTGACAAAACTTTATACAAGATAGGGTCACGGCCTTTTACATCGAAATCTAGACAATAGTCTTAAAACATGAAAGAACTAGAACAATAAAAGTTCCTGTCTTTTATCTATGAGGACATACCCAAAACGTCTTGGAGAACTCTATTCCAAGCTTGACTAGGAAGGATCAAATCCAGTGTCAAACCCTACACTTCATAAGAGTAAAGAAAATATGGGTTAGCACATAAAGTACTAAGAATGATAGTCATGCAAAAACATGCTTAAAACAGACATTTTTGTTTGAAAGTCATGATATCTGCCATTTTAGTAAATCCTCATGAACATTGATAAAAGAGGCATAATATAAGTCACAACCAATATGCAAGTCACATTTTCACATTAAGAACATAATCCACACATGAACCTTTACCTTTTTACATTAAGCCTTCACCTCAAGTACCCCTCAAGCTATATACCTTGTGCAATATATGGGTAGCGTCCCATACCACCCACCCACACTAAGGCACCACCTTAAGGTCACCAAAAGTGAACTCACCATTCATCATTTCCACCTTTACACAATAAAGCATATAAGAGACAAAAACATTACATGAGTCACATCATCACATTAAGACCAAACCTAAGACAACTCTAAGTCATACTTGTGCAATGTGCAAATAGCATCCCATACTACTACTCACACTAAGTACTCCTTTGAAGTCACCATAGACAAGGCACATTCACACTTAAAAGTCATGAAAATGAAGTAACTCATAATACAATCCAAGTATAGCATGCATCTTTACATTTAAACATATAAGCATTTAAGAGTCAACATTCTTCATTAGCTTCATTTCATTAAGAGTACCTTCATTCATTAGACATTAGATCAACATTCTCATAAACGTCATCATAAGAGCCCATTCATTCATTTACATTATAAAGAACACGCCATGACCTTTCTCAAATGCCTACTTGTGCAATGCATAGATGGCGTCCCATACCACCACCCACACTAAGTAGTACATCCTTAAGAAGCCACAGTTCATAAACATTCTTTGTGGGGGTAAGCCTTAACCGACATAGACCATGTGAGAAATTCATGGAATCCCGGTGTCACCCTCACTGGATAAGGGATTCCTTCTTGCCTAAGGTAGGACCATCATTTATTTAGCCTTAAGTGGATCCACTAGCTAGACCTATGTGGGCACATAGTTTATGGGATAGGGAGATTGCTACTAGATAACCCGCCTCAACTAACGTATGAGTATCCATCTCAAGAGATTGCTACTAAGTGCCTCGCCTCAACTCACGTATGAGCACCCATCTCAATCCATATCCACTCGGTACTTGGCATTATTCCCCACGGAGTATTGACATTCATTACATTCATTCATTATGTGATAAGAGATTGATATTAGATACCCCGCCTCAACTAACGTATGGGCATCCATCTCAAACCCAACATTAATTAAAATGAGATACAGCTTGCTACTAGATACCCCACCTCAACTAACGTATGAGTATCCATCCCAACCCAAAATTCATTCATTCATTGGAAAGCTCATAGAATCAAAGATGAGAATAGCCTTTCACCTAAGAACCCCCTTATTGTGAAAAGTACTTTCACAACAAGTCATTATCATTCATTAGAGTACAATTGAGAATAGCCTTTCAATTGACTCATCATCATTAACATTATCATTAGACTTCATTCACTCATTCATTCATTCATTCATGTGTGTGTGTATGCGAGAATAGCCTTTCACATTGTCACCATCATCCATAAGTGTTAATAGAGAGATAACATTCGTTCCTAACACAATGAGCTTCTAAACATGATCATAATTCATTCGTTTAGATCACACACATGTTTCACATCACATTCATATATACAACATCATGATAATACTTCAATTCCTCACACTATTCCTTCAGGCCATGATTACAATTTACATAGTAAGTAAACACCTCCACCATTCAAGTGGATCAACAATTCAAGCATAATTCTACTTTATCATGAAATTAGGTCAAACTTGCCCTTCCAGGGCTATGTTCACAAATCCTCAATTCACCAACAATTCACCATAATTAGGCATAGATGATGATACATTTCAATAATCTAAATCAATTTAGGCATAATTCGTCAACATTCATACATGATCAACAAACCCATTTCATAAGACACAATTTAGAAATTGAGAGAATTCATGGATTCATAGAGTATTTTCATCATAAATCCTCAATTAAACACTAATTCAATCATAATTTGACATTAGAAACTTTTCGAAGTCGTTTGATGAAAGAACTTATGAGATTGAGTAAAACCCTAGATTTTCATGATTTGAAAGAAACTTTGAATTGGCTCCTTGAATGAAAAGTTAGACAAAGATCAAGACTACCATACCTTGCTATTGTTTCCCCATGAAAATTGAAGATGAAACACCTTGAAAGCCCCAGCCCTAGCTTTACCTTGACCTTGATCTCCAATGGAGTTTCTAGAGAGGACTTTTGGGAGGGAAGGGTTTTGATTTGGGGTTTTGAAATAATAGAATGTAAAATAGAGTTTTACACTTTTAATACTCTTAAAATATGTAAATAAACTCAAAATAACCATCCAAACACTTAACTAGCCAAGGGAGGAATTTACCAAACCACTCTTGGCTTGGCCGTGTCTTTGACAGAAGACATGTGCCATTCACGAGACCTAGACTCACGGACCAGACTGTTGGTCTGTGGTTTGGGTCAGAGAGGTGCAATTAGGGCCCATGACCTACGGAGGCCATCTACGCGGCGAGAATGGACCTACGGGGCGTGAACCTTTTCCGTAAGTCACCTCACTTTGGGCAACCTCATGGTTTCCTTGGGGTCTTGGGGTTTAGACTTAGGGTCCTCTTCAAGTGAACCCCTTCCGTAAGTCACCCCATTTTGGGCAACCTCATGGTTTCCTTGGGATCTTGGGGTTTAGACTTAGGGTCCTCTTCAAGTGAACCCCTTCCGTAAGTCGTACCTTGATGTCTAATCCCTAAACAACTCAACCATGATTCGGGACAACCTTAAACTACCTCAAAACTCAAGACAAACTCACACTCTCACTAGTTACGCTCTAGTTTCACTAGTTCGATTTTAGGGTCGTTACATTATCCCCCACTTAGGAACATTCATCCTCGAATGACACTTAAAACACATTAAGGGGTAACGACTCAAGACTATCAGCCCACAATCATGCATGCAACATCAATATAAATGCATAAACATAGGAGGAAACATCAACTCCACATCAAAAAAGCTCAATGTAAACAAGAAGGTAGGAACTACCTCTACAAACTCATTATGCACCAAAACATTTCATTTCTCATTTTATTGGAGGAACTTCCTTCTCCAAATCACATCATGCTCATCATAACATCATTAAGCACATCTAAGCAATTTTCTCATAAAAGCACATTATGCATCTTCTTCATAAAAACACATTTAGGCATGCTCAACTTTAACCTCATGAAGCATATAGACAACTCAAACTAAATTCACATTAACATGAGGAACATAAATCATGAAAACTCATTTTCTCATATAAACAAGAATTCAAATAGAACATGCATAACATAAGGAAACCATGGAAACTCATATTAACACAAGACTCCAAAACATGAAACAAGCTACAAGGAACTCTTGGTCTCAAGCTTGAATAGGAATAGAAGGAAAGAGATAAGGATATCAACACTCACCATAACCTACTATTCAACATACTATCCCCCACTTAAGGGCAAGCTCATACTAAGGTCAACATGAAAACTACAAAGCAACCTCAATAAGACATTCACACCATAAGGAACTATCAACTTACCGATACCTTCATCCGGATTAGCTCCTTTGTCCTTGTTAGCTTGAAGCACATAGAAACGGTTTCTCTTTGGAGCATTAGGATCCGGGCCATCAAGGGAAGCTTGGTTGGTCTCTCTCCCTTTTGCCATGAGTGTAGGGCAATCTCTCATCTTGTGACCGTTCTTTCCACACCCAAAGCACCTATTCGTGCCAGCAAGGCACTTACCCAAATGTTGCTTCCCACACTTGGCACACTTAGGACTTTCAAAAGAAGATGAACCACTTCGATTCCCTCCTTGAGATTTAGGGTTAGACACCCTATCATTGCTAGATATTGAAGAATCTTGATTGGAGTACCTCTTTTTGGACCTTGGTTGACTTTGCTCATCGGGCTTAAACCTCTTCAAATCCCTATTCATCTTCTTAAGCTTGGACTCCTCCATAGATTGAGCATACACAACAAGACTAGAGATATTTATATCATCATGGAGCATTGCCGTACGACACTCTTCCTTAACTAGGTCGGATACACCAATAACAAACCTACTCATCTCATCTTTAGGGTTAGACACCAAGGATGGAGCATACTTAGACAATAGGTTAAACTTCAAGGAATACTCCTCCACACTCATCGTACCTTGCCTAAGGTTTATAAACTCCTCCACCTTAACCTCCCTCTTCTCACGGGGAAAGTACTTACAAAGGAAAGCTCTCTTAAACTCCTCCCATTCTATAGGACCCGCTTCAATCAGCCTATTGGCTTTCCATTGAGTGAACCACACTTGGGCCACATCTTTCAATTAGTAGGAAGCCAACTCCGCCTTCTCCCTAGAAGTTACTCCAATAGCATTGACTATTTTATAAACTTCATCCAAGAATTCTTGGGGATCCTCTCCCACTCTAGATCCAAGAAAGATAGAAGGATTCATCCTCACAAAGTCTCTCAACCTTGAGGCCGCGGTACTCTCATTAGCATTCACCCTAGGCCCCACATCTCGATTAACTTGAGACGTCATGGCTTGGGCTAGGGTTAGAAATGCCGACCTAATCTCTTCATTAGTCATGTCCGGGGGAACCACTGGAACTTCATTTCCTTGATTGCCTAGAGGAACTTGGTCACCTCGAAGACCTTGGGGAGGAACTCCCTCGTTCACAATCTCCTCTTCCATCCTTCTTGTGTTAGCCCTTGTATTCATATCGTATAAATACAAGAGAAGGATTAGAAAAAGGACATCTATAAATCTAAACTCTAAGGCACGACTTCAAGAATATGAAAGAAGTGTAACTTTCTAACGTCCTATAGCCTCTCGTTCATAGATGTGTCGCGACTCACACCGATGAACATGACTCTCTACTAGACGTGGCTTGTGAGACAACTACCTTAAAAACCATTCCCAAAATCTTGTGCTCTGATACCATGTTTGTCACAATCCGAGAGCACCCCCTAGTCGAAACATGGCGTACTTGACCCCGAAGGGGTCTTATACAAGCCTCATAACATTCATTCATCGCATATGTAATAGAAATAGTACAAAATTAAAACTTTTTATTCAAAAACCATACAATCTAAAGACATTTATAAAGTAGCGGAATTCTAAAGTCTCACATGGCCATCTTAGACAAAACTTTATACAAGATAGGGTCACGGCCCTTTACAATCGAAATCTAGACAATAGTCTTAAAAAATAAAAGAACTAGAACAATAAAAGTCGGTGTTCTCGAACTATGAGGACATACCCAAAATGTCTTGGAGAACTCTATTCCAAGCCTGACTAGGAAGGATCAAATCCAGTGCCAATCCCTACACTTTATAAGAGTAAAAACAATATGGGTTAGCACATAAAGTACAAAGTATGATAGCCATGCAAAAACATGCTTAAAACGGACATCTTTGTTTGAAAGTTATGATATATGCCATTTTAGTAAATCCTCATGAACATTGATAAAAGAGGCATAATATAAGTCACAACCAACATGGAAGTCACATTTTCACATTAAGAACATAATCCACACATGAACCTTTACCTTTTTACCTTAAGCCTTCACTTTAAGTACCCCTCAATCTATACCGCACTACACCATTTTAGGCCTACGACCACCCCAGTAAAGTGTAGCCTAAACTAGCAAAAAGTGTGGCCTTTGATAAAAGGCTACACTTTTGGACTTTAAGCAACACTTTTTAGGGGGTGGCCTAAAGAAGCGTGACCGTTGACATTAGGCAACACTTTTTAAATGTCGCCATCTTTGGCTACACTTATAAAGCGTAGCCAAAGAGGTATAAGGGCACGCTTTGTTGTGATGAATTGGCGACACCTATTTTGTATTATACTACACTTAAAAGCGTTGCCTTTGCTTTGTTATTGGTCACACTTAAAAAGTGATGCCTTTTATATCTCATCAAGAGCAACACTTATAAAGTGTAACTTTATATCTCATCTAGAGCAACACTTATAATGTGTAACTTTATATCTCATCTAGAGCAAAACTTATAAAGTGTAACTTTTCTTATGTACAAGATAACATTGGACATCCTACAACAACACTTTTGAAGTGTGGCAATGTTGTGTAGAATTTTGTAGCCACAATTTTTTATTTTTAAGAATAATAATTTTTATTTGCATATATTCAATATATAATCACATAATTAAATATGCAAGTGACCTAAAGCACAAAATTGGCTAATAATTAAATCGAAGCTATATATTTCAAATAAACTTCGAGAAACATGTCTTGTACAACTATTAGAAAGTGATTGCTTAAAGATATCTACTATCAATAAAATCCAAAAAACCAAATGCATTCAAACGTATATGACAATAGTACAAAAATGTAACACCCCGTATTTTATGTGTACAAGTCCTACACATATGGAACTTGATTTAGCTTGGTGGTTTAAATAATGAACGTGATTTCCTAGATGAATGGTGACAATAAAGAAGCTATAAGGGTAACTCCTCCCGTACATAGCAATATTGCACGATCGAGTGAACGTTAAATTTTTAGAAGTATTTAAATTCTGGATCGAAGGGCTATAAGTAAGTCTAAAAGTTAAGGTGATCAAGTGTATATAAGTTTTCAGTTAAACTAAGGAGATTACGCTCGGAAAACGAATAAAAGAATTGAGGTGCTTGTTGGACGATAAAGCTAGCAGGTATCACTTACTTGCTTAGATCAAACTGGCTAATGTGTATCGACTACTGACAATTGAATAGAGCCACAATTAAGAATAAATATCCCCTCCCCAGAATTGATGATTTGTTTGATCAGTTACAAGGTGCCAAGTGCTTTTCAAAAATTGACTTGAGATCAGGTTATCACCAAGTGAGGGTGAAGGAGAAGGATATACCCAAGACAGCTTTTCAAACACGGTATGGTCATTTCAAATTTTTCGTTATGTCATTTGGGCTAACAAATGCATCGGCAATTTTTATGGATTTGATGAATAGGGTGTTCAAGCCATTCTTGGATGTATTTGTGATAGTATTTATAGATTATCATCTTGGTGTATTCAAGATCAGAAGAGGACCATGCAAATCACTTACGACAGGTATTACAAGTTCTTCATGATCGGCGATTGTATGCCAAGTTCTCCAAATGTGAATTTTGGTTAAAATCAGTGGCGTTCTTGGGTCATTTTGTATCTGATGAAGAATAAGGGTTGATTCACAAAAGATAGAGGCCGTGAAAGATTGGCCAAGACCAACAACACCCACAGAGGTTCGTAGCTTCCTAGGGTTGGCAGGTTATTATAGAAGGTTCATTGAAGGATTTTCTTCTATTTTTGCACCTTTAACTAAGCTAACACACAAGGAAGCTAAGTTTCAGTGGAATGATGCATGTGAAAGAAGCTTACAAGAGTTGAAAAGTAGGCTAACTTTCGCAGCTGTATTAGTACTTCCGGAAGGCACAGAGGGGTATGCAGTATATTGTGATGCTTCAGGGGTTGGTTTAGGATGTGTACTCACGCAACATAGTAGAGTAACAGTTTATGCCTCAAGACAACTGCGGCCACATGAGAGAAATTACCCAACACATAATCTTGAACTAGCAGCGGTTGTATTTGCTTTAAAGATATGGCGCCACTATTTATATGGGGTTCACGTTGACATATATACAGACCATAAAAGTTTGCAATACATCTTCAAGCAAAAGTGATAGCATCCAAGGAAGCTCTACTCCATTGAAGGACAAGGATGACGCTTTAGAAACTCCAAGGAGGCCCATAACAAGATCTCAAACCAAGGAGTTCAATGATAAGCTCAATGGGCTTCAATCGCTGATCCAAAGGTTTCCTATTGGGGAAGAAGAGCTCAAGCCCAAGGGAGAGGAATTGTCCAAATGCTACAATTATTTGGTGGCCCAAATTCAAGCCCAAGATGAGGAATTTTAAGGTCCAATTTCGTGCAAAAAAGGTCAAGAAGAGTCCAAGAATCAACCACAACAAGAGTTGCTTTCTGCCCAAGTTTTGAGAGAAGACTAGTCAAACTTTCCAAGATTGTCAAGATTCTTTTCCTAGTTGGGATTTACCTTATTTATTTATTTATATATAGGTTATTAATATTTTCCTTAGTCTATTTATGGTCTCCTAAGTACCATTTAATGCTTTCCTAGAAGTACTAAATTTGTTCCTAGTTAGGTTACTTTATTTCCTTTCTAGAGTAGGATTCCTTGTAATTGTTTTTTTTAGGGTTTGGCTTCTTGGACGTTTTTCCTTTCTCCTATATATAGGAGTCCTTTTCATTCATTAAAGACAATTTAGATTGATATTAATAATATTTGAGAGAGTTCTTTGAACCTTTGTGACTTGTTCTTTGAGAATTTATCTTTAAACCTTTACTAGTTTCATAGTTTAAGGTATAAAGTAACTTCTTCTTGTGATATCTTTGGTTTCTTTTTGGTATTCTTTAGAAGGTGATTAGTTTCTACATACTAATTATTGTCTTTAGTTACTCATAAAGCGGTCAAGATCCGAATCTATCGTTTTGATTCGTTTTCTCAAGTAAAGGCATTAGATTTCTTCCATAAATCTATACGTTGTTACTTGGATCTTTTCAAGGCCTTAGAACATCTAATCTTTGGAAATTCGTGGATCTTTCCTTCGAATTTCCCATATCTTTATTTAGTTTTTTTTGTTTCTTTTCTTTGTTCTTCCGCATTCTAATATTTAATTCTCTATTTGTGATCTCCCTTAACCTTGCTGTTATCAAGTGGTATCAGAGCGGTTCTATCAAGATTCCGTTCTTGATAAATCTTGGGATTTCTTCTTAGAGCAACAAAAAAAAAAAAAAAAAAAAAAAAATTTATTACAGTTGCATGAACAGAAAAAAAAAAAGTTATAACTTGCTCTCAAAGAAATCTGATTACTTGTCCTCCAAGAAATTTGATTACTTGATACCCAAGAAAGCTTATTACTTGCTATTCAAGAAATCTTATTACTTGCTCTCCAAGTAAACTTATTACTTGCTCTCCAAGTTTTGCATTAATTTGTTTCCAA